CTTGTAGTCTGCACCTTTCTCGTCGTCGTTCGGTGGGCTGCAGCAGGGCTGAGGTCCCATGAATACTTTTGAGTACAATAAAGCCACACGGCGGCGCGCGGTGCGGGACACTGCAGCGGTAGCGCACGCCGTGGCCCATATACCCCGCTTCACGAGTGTTGGCGGTAATGTGGCAGAAGCGGAGTCCCACGAGAGAAAGAAAAGCGTGAGCAAGTCGGTCCGCTAGAGAGGAAAGTAAAATAAAATATTAAAAGGAAAAAGAGAGAGAGAGAGACGCTATGCATTGAGAGAAAAGAAATTGCAGCGACAGTAGACGAAAGGAAAAACAGTTGTGGGAGGGAGACGAGAAAATTTAGAGCGTGAGATAGGGGCAGTAACAGGGCAAGAAGTGTGGGTCAGAAAGAGACGGGAGAAGGGGGGAGCAAAAAGAGGTTCAGCATAACAGAGAATGATACAAAGAGCAAAAAGGAACCGCTGTGCATAAAAAAGGGGGAAATTATGTGGGTGGGCGACAAAGAAAAGTAGATGGGTCGCGAGCTCGGACACGGGCCCCCGTATAAGCGTAGTCTGCAAACGCGGCAGTGCAGGTATGGGGCGTAGCAGGGCGTCGCGGGGCGGGGTGCGGCGGGAGGCCCGCCAGCCCACCGCGATATTCATGTACATATTTCATGATTCAACTCCCACAGTCCCGGTCGAGATTGCAGCCCACAGGACCGCCCCCCTTCCCCGGCGCGCGGCCGCTCCCACCCCATCTACGGAGCGGGACATCAGGGGACAGGGTGGAGAGGTACCGACCCCACCCTCTCCCTCCTCGTCCGGAAGGTACAACACCCGTGTCATTACCCCCAGCAACGTCACCCGGGAGTGGCGCAATCACCACCCTCCTCCCTCCCCCTTCTTACGGCAACCTTTTCCTCCGCGAATTTATTCCCGTCACACGTCACAGCGAACAAACACAAGAAAAAAACCGCCACACTTTACTTACAACGACCTTCCCTGGGAACAAATTGCGGTGTGGCATATACGCCTACACGGCATCTTTCAAGGTGGCCTTACAGGCAGCGGGGCGGAGCAAACTGCTTGCAATAATAACAAATTTCAAATTCGAGGTGTGTCCCTTTTATTTATAGCGCAGCCTCCAAGAGGCCTCCACAGACGGACCATTCAAACATTTGGGGGTGTTGACGCTGCCGAGAGCGAAAACACCGAGTCCTCTGCAGGAGGGCGGGGTCTGCGGCGCAAGAGTAGGAGCGAGCAAGTGCAAATACACGAACGAAATGGAGGAAAACAGGCCTAAAATGCAGTAAATGCATGCCAAATGTTTTAATTTGCGGAAGGCTCGGAAAAAGTTTTTCCTGAACAAAAATATTTCTAACATCATTGATAGAAATAACATACCGTCATTTTACGAAAAATCTGCTGCTCTGTTTTTACATAAATTGTAACGTAACAAACACATTGGTACAGTCGCGTACACTTACTCGGTTGTTATACAGAAGAAGAAAAAAGACACTGAACACTACAACTTTTGAAAGAAACTCTCTCTGCCATATCGTATGTCAGTTGAACTCGTTCCTATCAACTATTCTTGACATATATTCTTATCGTGTAATGACAAAATTCATTAGCGGCGATGCAAGAAATTGTGGTGGCAAGGGACCGAGAAAAGGGACGTTGGACTCGAGGGTGGGTCAAGCACCAGGAAAGAGCATGGGTCGACCCAATCAGCCGCGCTCTAGTTCGGGCCCGCCGCGGCCGCGCCACGTCGCCGTG